CACTTTCTTGTTGTAACGCCCGCATGACATTTCCTCTAGAAACACCCCCCCCCCTGGAGATCCGATTGGGGGAGTAGTTTACCTCCGGATTGTTTTGTCTCCAGAGGAAACATCTTGCATATATGGTATCTCTGTTTTTGGAAAGAGACTATCCAGGAAAAGTGATAATGTGGTAGTTTTTCCATTTGCTTTCCACATCGCAGTACAGCAGCCGTTCAAACCACTCTGGTCAAGCCTGTTGCTATATGAACTTGAACCATCTCGAGCATCATTTGCTCTGTGCTTCAAGTCGCCACTGATGACGCTGCTTCCGGCATCAGAGTTGGGTATCTCTCTTCGTCTGATGCCTACCCTTTGACCTGTCCAGCAAGGGAGGCCCTGCCAGTAGTTACGCTACCGCTGGTATAGCTCTCAGGGTCCTTGGCATACTCAAACCCCCTCACCATGATCAGGTGGAGACACCAACAAGGGGGATACATGATATGATATACCAAAATGACCTGAATAACTAAATGACATCATTCACATTTTCTGACTGGCAAAAGAACCAGAGGAAGCTACTTTTGTTGGACCCAGTGCTGATGCCTGATAGCAGTTGAAATGATCATTGCAGTTTGACTGCATACACATCATACCATCACCTTCTCAGCCATTTAGATGGAATGTGTTCTGAAATGTCATGAAAGTACCCCCTCAAATAATAGCAGTGTGTGAACATCCCACATACTATCATGCTGTTTCGCTGATCAATGGACAACACTCACTCCTAAGTCAATAGCACATTCCTGCATGTTGCTGTCAGCTCTCATATTTATACAGCACCCACTGTCCAGCTCACTTTTCACCATCATGTGTGCTTGCCAATAAGCGCTCACAATAGCAACTACAAGTCTAAGCTCCGCCCACCAAGTTTGGTATAAAAGGGGCAGCTCGAACCCAGCAATCATCAGTGACCACATCAGCCAGTCAGCCATCACACTTAGTCCAGAGCGATCATTCATCGGAGTCATTGGCTCTTCACTGCGTCAGGGATGGCTGCCTCGGCTCTCTGGTGGTCATGCCCAACACACCGGGCAACTGGCGCAGCTGCCGCCACTTCAGCGACCGCGTTCCATGACCGGACATCTTCCAGCAACCACGCTCTGCAACCAGGCAACTTCTAGCAACTGCCACACTGCGACCAAACAATTAACTCAGCTGCAGCAACATTAGCCAACACGCCGTAGCCAACAGCTATTTCTACCGGTGCACACAGCACTACATCACTGGCCAGACAGACCAGCTGAACAGCCGTAAAACTCTATCTACCGCCGTGAAACAAATGGCCCTTTTCAGGGCCCACAGACTTTCCGAAGTGGTTGTCTATTGGAGTAGCGACAAATCCCACAGCAGTATAATAACTTGGTGACATTGTTGCTGAAACAAATAAATACTGAGGAGTAATTTAATAGACTTCATGCAGAATGTCACTAAGCAAGATTCCACAATGTGTTGTAAATATTTGGAAGTTAACATTTTTAAAACTGGAAATGGTAGAACAGGTACTGAAAGACATTTTCATGTAAGAATATGATTTGTTACATTCTTTGGTTGCTAAACCCACAGTTGTTTAATTCCATTGTAGTAGTCTGTTTTCCACAAGAAGATAACATTGCATGAAGTTCATACTTCAGTAACAATTAGCAGTTCAGTTAGCATTAAGCTTGGTGGGGATAACATGCTATTGGAGGTGCTCAGTGAAATAAAACAAAATAAAATGCCCAGAAATAAAAATGTAAGATAAAAAACTCGTAAAAAAAGAACGAATACAGTTACTGTACTAACAATCCCTTATGTGTATGTCTGTAAAGTGTGTATCATTTTTGCTAGAATGTACTGGTATGAATAGTTATATAAATTAATGAATTACACAGCTAACATATAATGTACTGTAATAGAATTTAAATGCTTAATGGACATTTCATCCTCATTTTTCTGCTTCGTGATCAGTTTGTCCTACAGTTTTGTCCACAGAAATTTCAGCCATTTTTTGCATTAGCTGTAGAACTGTTTTATTTTATGCTCATACAGATATTTCTTCAAATATTTTTTTTGTACAGGGGTATATCTGGAAACCATTTAAATTAATATATAAGAACAGCCCCATGATGGTATAGTGTTAAAATTAGTAATCATTTATAGCAATTTAATGAAATATATTAAATGTTTGTTTGTATAATTACTTATATATTGGTCTGTAGTTTAATATCCTCTTGTATTTGCATATTTCTTATCGAGTGTGATTAAATTCTCTAAAAATTAACATAAAAAATATGCTGAGAATGTGTCACATTCAGAGAAAGTCATGTTTTTAGCTTGTGATACAAATGCTGGGTGCCCAAGAATGAATATGCAAAAAAGGAAGTTGAATAGATACTGACGTAAATTTGATATGAATATATGGATCAGCCTTACAAGTTTTAATTTGTTGTGAATATTGATTGGTATTATTTCATCTGTGTCAGAAGAAACTTCATTGTCTGGTATGGCAGATCTTCAAGAGAAGTCGAAAGTTGTTAGATTTCCACTTCATGAAAGATACTATAGTCTCAAACTGATTCACCCATCTACATATAGTGTGTTATTCAGGTGCTGATATGTTTATTTTTCATGCTATAAATGCCTTTGGATTTATATGATTGAACCATATTCATATACAGATCTCAGGTTTGCTGATGTGCTTCTCGTATAAAACCATAAGGGGGTTTCTTCCAAAACAAAAATTAGCAATCAGTATATGCAGCAAACTAAAATTTATGTCTAATGCGTATATTCATAATAAATCTGTCAGTATTTTGAATGACAGTAAAACTATTAAAGATTTTTTTTGGTGTATTCATTTTTAGACACCTGTATGTGTTTCTTTGGTGATAGCACTTAAGTCTAATCAACATTTTTCTGTTTTTTGACATTATTGAAATATATTTCAGGTGAAACATGGAACCCATTGAAGTTAAGGTACCAGCTGAAGAATGTACGCGAAAGATTAGCTAAAAACCTGGTAGAGAAAGGTGTGCTTACAACAGAAAAGCAGAACTTCCTTTTGTTTGATATGACAACACATCCTCTTACAGATAATGTTGCTAAGTCACGCCTGGTGAAAAAGGTAACCAGTACTCAATACAGAAAATGGCAGTTGGTATGGTAGTACAGTCTTAATAATAATTGTGAATAGTCAGTATTGAGATAACGGATTATCGACCTATAAAAGGAGTTTTGTCCCCTCTGTTGAACAGGCTTCCAGCCCTGCAAGTCTTATATTATTAATTTGTTCCTGTATGATTTTTCTAGGGCCTGAGCAGATAGTAATCTGAGGGGAGCCAAGTTCATAGCCATCTTTTGTGATTATCTTTGTCATCAAGTTTACAGTGTGAAGTCAGGCTTTGTCATGTACAGGGGATGACATGAAGTGTATATTGCTGTTTCTCAAGCATAGAAATGTAATGTTTTCCCATAACTTTGCCAGCCGAATGGCTTGCTTATTGTGTGTGTGTGTGTGTGTGTGAATGTTGACACAGCAATTTGTCATTGACAGTCACTTTGTCACAGTGGACTGTGGGAACAGGTGTAATGCAAATGATTTGTGCTTATATTGGAAAATGTAGATATCACTACGGAGCATGTAGCATATGCTGTACTATATTTGGCACAAATTTGTGTAGTAAACAGATCCAGCTCACATAGTAGCAATACTCTGAATTACACAATGACACTATCCACAGTAGCTATTAAATATAAGTAAAAATTAATTAAGGAAATGTTAGTAACTAAAACTGCAGCAGTATTAGCTGTCATGGTTATAAAAGTTTATTAGATATACTCAGTTATTGGCTCACAAATACTAAATATTTATGAAGTAAATATTTTCACAGGTCCAAGATGCAGTGTTGGGGAAGTGGGTCAATGATCCTCATCGCATGGATAAACGCTTACTGTCCCTGATCTTCCTTGCACATGCCTCAGACGTATTAGAGAATGCATTTGCCCCACTCAATGATGATGATTATGAACTTGCCATGAAACGTGTCCGAGAACTCCTCGACTTGGACTTCGAGTCTGAAAGTATGAAACCCAATACAAATGAAACTGTATGGGCTGTATTTGCTGTATTCACCAAGTAAAAATGCAGTTGGACTCATGCAGAATATAAATCATGACTATGATGCTTAACTTCTCGAGCTTCAATCCTAAAGCAGTGTGATGAATAACCATTATGCTTAAAAGTATATAGGCTTTGAATAATGGCAGGGGGAGGGTGTCTTTCTAGTATAGACATTTATGTGTGAAAGATTAAGACTGGGTTGGTGCTCAAGAATTTGTAACTACAGCTTATTGGCTGATTTACCAAGAGGCAGAACCTTGAGACACCTCACAAAACAGTGTTGATGCCTTTTATACAGCACCACCTCTATGATTTAAATGCTCAGGCCATCACAAGATGAAACTGATGTAGCTGGACCAATTAAGGAATAGGTTACGTGTATATGAGAATTTCAAGCATATTGTTATAAACATCAATCAAAGACTGGGACATACACATGCATACTGAATAATTTCATCAGCTGCTGTGTGGTACATAAGTTTCTGTTCCATGTGTATGGTTTTGGTTCTCCAGATATAGCCTTGGGGTGAGCCCCACAGAAAACATCTCTTGCAGCTGTTATGTTGCAGAGTTGCTGCGTCCGCTACAGCTGACTGCACAGAAAACACCGCTTCCGACAGCTCTTCTGTTGTTGCTTGAGTGTCTGTTTCAGCGATCACATGTTGGCTACTGACTGTTGCACAGCCAACGAATGCTCGCTTAATAGTGCTGTTGCGTGTTCACCGTGCTGTAACCTAGCAAAGGACGCTGCTTCTCCGATTAAATTATTCTGGCTTTCAGTGGACATGCCACAATATGAATGAACAAAAATAAATTTATAGGTGGAAAGGGAGAAGCCATTAATGCTGTCATCTCTGTTCATGGGACTTCATTCAATGGTCTCAGTGTAGTAAGTTCAACATTGTGGTACTTCTTTTTATTCATTTAAATGTATACATATTCACATAGTTATTATTTCTGGAAGCACATCCAGTATGAAAATGACTGGTATTGCACCCCACATATTTGACGCTGGAACAGTAACAACTTCAGACTATAACAAAATGCATGAAAAAGTAGAAGTAACACTTCACATGGAATTACGTGAATTAGAACAGCTTTGTTTGTATATAGCACCTGTGGCTGCCATAGTGTTATTGATTAAGAAGTGTTATAAAATTTTACACTATAATTGGAGTATAAATAATAATAATAATTATTATTATTAGCTTTTATTATTATGAAATAAATAAATTTGTAAATAAACATTATTATTATAATTTGAGGCTCCTGATGGCATAGCTGTTTTCTTTGCTTCATTGCCATTTGCATTTCAATTCTTACACAATAAAAAGGAAAGCTAAATGTATTATATGGTAGTATTATTATACAACCATCAACACAAAAAATTCATAATAAATAACCAATGTTAATACTATTATCATTCATTTTATTATGTACATTTGCTATTTGTGCAAATAGAACCTCAGAATGGGAACATCCACTACCTGATAACAAGAAGGCCACTTCTGTATAGGACATGATACAGCATACACAGTAACTTAGCCACTGTCGCTAAAATGGAAATTAGAACTTAATTTCATATACATGCTGAAAATCACCACATACAATGTGCACAAAGAATTGAAGAACTACACATATTCCCTGAAAACCCATTACTGTATGATACATCATCATAGTCTTGTACCCCACATTAAATTATATATTTTTTAATTTAACTTTCAACCGAGTTGTAACATTTTACATTTTAAAACTAATATCCAAAATATAACAGAACACAAGTATTTTAATGAAATTCATATTAATGATTACTAATGTGGGTCCACATTAGAAATACACAGAAATACAATTCATTAACGAATAGTACAGTACACAAAAAATTGCTTGATGATCCAGCTGGATCAAAACATATAGAAAATGTACATAATAAAACAAATGGTAATATAATAATATTGGTTATTACAAATTTGTTGTGTTGGTGGTTGTGTAATGATACCATGTATGTATGATACACAACAGGATGCAAACAATGAAGTCGATGTACAGTATAGTTTTCAGTTTAATCAATATAAGTATTGTTAAATCCTATTATGTTATAGAAGCTTATGATTTGTGAACTCAAGAGCACATTGAATGTGAAGGTATATGGCTAAAAAAATGAGGTAAAAGACCCCATTCAGTAACATTCAGAGTATGTTTCATCTTCAGCTTGTTGACATTTGATGAAGATCTCTGTGAACAGACAAAAATACTAGGGAGGAAGTAATAGTGAATTTATATGTGAACACTCCAAGACTTGTAGCTGTAGTTGCAAAGAGTGAAGCTGTACATTTTTGATGAGAGAGATGTGTGTGGTGGTAACAATTCCTGCTGTAGTATCAAGTTCTGAAGACTAACATTAGAATTTTTCAGTGTATGATTTCTCAGGACTGTCACCCTTCATGAGGGCCGAAGCCGGTTGTTCTGGCACTCGTGGTAGGCCTACACAGAGACAGACAACCAATGGATGAACTAGAAGTTGAGGATTTTGTGTAAAGGATAAACCACAAATATCTTTCTTATTGTGTGTGATTCCAGTGATGTTCTATAAGATTTATGGTGGGGATTAACCTTACTGTACACTATGTGGGCTATGATAGTATTTTATGATTCAGTGTATAAAGCAGACTTCTTTGACAGGTTTGTACAGTGTGCTGCATATAGTTCATCTAATTCCACAGTAAATAAAATCGAAATTTTTTAGGAATTTTATTATTTCCCCCCTTTACTAGTACTAACACCACCACTGCCAACTCTACTGCTAATGCTGCTGCTACTCCTATTACTGCTACTATTATTACTACTAATACTAATAGCCCAGTCACCATAGCAACAGGCTGGATGGCTGGGGTTTGATCCCCAGAAAGGACAATATTTTTTCTTTACTCCAGTGTCCACACTGGATCTGAGGCCCACTCGTCATCCTATCCAGTAGGTACTGGATGCTTTCTCCTTTGGGTTAAAGTGGCTGGGCCATGTAGCTGACCACTCATCCCTATCCAATGCCACGGTGAAGAGTGGTGGAGCTATAACTTCAATCCCTCATACATCTTTGTGGAATGGTGCATAATTAATTGAGCACAGGGACAACTTTACATTTGCCTTAATCCTGCTAATACTGTATATGCCATCCTTTACAGAGAATGTAATGGTGCAGTGCCCCTAACAAGTCCTAAATTTACTGCTGCTTCTGTATGCATGTTCATTTATCTTGCCATGCATTTATTTGGCTGGCAGTATTCTACAGACTAATCAGAAATGTGATCAGATTAAACTGTGGATGAAAGCATAGGAGTAGTCCTGTGATAAATATATGTCCAAGACTTTTGTTTTTGAAAATTGTTTAAAATTCAAGCAAATTCTGGTGACTTAAGAAAATTTGGATCAAATTTTCGTTACGGAATAACTCAGGCACTGCTATGGAATTTTTTTTGTGTTACAGATCCTGTTGTGTATATGAATACTTGAGTTGCATACTTCACACAAGGAATGTGGGTGACTTAAGCATCACAAATCTACGCAACCAGCATTATAATACATAGTGACTCATGTCATCCACAAGAACACAAATAATCTGCAATCAAATAATTAACCGTATGAACACTTATCCCATCACAAACACAGAGAACAGAAACTACAATATGTAAGAAACAAAATAATAATTACCCCATAAACATATTCAAAATATATTTAAACCAAATCACACAAAAAATAACTTACTATAAAAAAGACAACTTTCACATACTCTGGGAAAGAAACAAGATTCGTCACTAGAGTATTAAAAATAATCATATACTAACCAAGCTCAAAACCACGAACACAATAAAAAAGCAACAGAAAAAAAACCTTGAACAGATATTTTCAGTAAGTGTGGAATATTTCAACTAACATGTAAGGACTGCACCTTGAAATATGTCAGACAGGCAGGATGTTTGGAGCACATTTCAGAGAACATGTACAAGCAATAAGACCAACAAACCCAACTCCAGATATGCACAACAGGTATTATAAACCGAACACACATGTGATGCTATAGATGAAAACTTGGGGAGTTTTCCATAACCAAAAGAAGGGCCACCTATTGAACCCATTAGAACTATTACATATATATGTATATTGTAGCGTGTTTTGTGTGTCACGCTACAAATAAGTTGATGCCGGTCTCAAATTCGGTAGAACCTTTATTGTTCTTCACTTACACAATCACACACTTTACAATTATTAGCCTACACAATGTCTCGGCCGATACTCGACTGTCTTCTCTGGTGGTTGTTCCAAGACTCTCTGTTCTTCGAAGGATGGGTGAAGACTCACTTCTTAGACGGCTCGATAAAGACTGACTGTGTGAATGCATTCAACCCCGCTATATAACCTCAGTCGCTGCTATGCAACGACCCCTTTGTTATAACCATGGAGACTCCTGTTAGCACTACAGTAGAGCGATTGTTGTTTCCTATGCAACGGTCTATTCTAGCGTTTCCATAGAAGTGACTCTTCTGGATTGCCGACACGTTACATTGCTCCCTTCTAAAGGTTGTTTGTCCGCGAACAGCCTAAAGGTTCTCCCTTGGTTTCGATTCCGCGGTGTTTTGTTGGCAACGTCTGCATTCGGTCTTGGTGTCCTTTATGCCTCTTTCCGCGCTGTTCATTCTAACCGTACCCGCCCCTTTCTTCAGTGGTGCTCGTCCCGAGCACTCCCGTAGTCGAGAATTTGTCGATCTCGTCTCACTCATTCCTCACTTTCATTCTTCATTCATCCTTGTTGGGGAGGCCAGTACTTCTACGTTACCGGTTCCTCCCATAAGGGCCGTTTCCCTTTTCTGTTTTGGAGGGGGTCGACCCCTCCACAGTGTCCAACTTTTCGCGGTAAACCTGATAAGTAGTTTCGTGTTCTTCACGTTGACAGCCTCGTAGGTGGTGGTCTCTCGTGTTCCTCTCCTTCCTGGGTGCGATCGCTGCCCTGGCCTGCACCTTCCAAAGCCGTTCTTGGTTGGCACTTCTTTCTTCTGGCATAGCGGCCGTCTGCCGCCTATCATCTTTATCCCTCTCCTTCCTGTACGCTGGCATCCGAAGGTTCCGTGGGGAGTTTCCTTCTTGGGGGCATTTCTCCAACGTAGTGCCACTGTCGCGCGACGGGATTTCTTCCTGCGGTTTCCCTTCTGCTGTGCCGCTTCCACACGGCGTGTTGTCACTCTGTGTGTGACAGCCAATTTCTCCTGGGGTCCACGATTTTCCCACTGCAAATCCTTCAGTTTCTGGCGGCGGCGCTCCGCGGCCAGTTTTCGGTCCCTACGCCTTTTCTTCGGTTCTCCGACCGGTATTCTCGGGGCGTCTTCTACGGGGACTTCTTGATGCTCTGCCGCCTCAGGTTTCGTTTCTACTGGGGTCTGCTCTTCCTCTTGATGTGCCTCCATTTCTCGGTAGGCAGTCATCGCTTTTTTGTTTCGGGCACTATCTTCTTGTGGGAAGTTCTCTTCTCTTCCCCCCAGGCTTTCCAATCGACCAGCATTTCTTCGTGTCTGGCATCGGCCTTTGCTACCATGGCTCTGAATTCTTTCAGCATCTCGTCTGTTTTTTCTTGGCCAGCGCTGATTTTCTTCAGCAAGAGTTCCATCATCTGCTGTGAATCCATCTCTCGATGCACTCAGTTTGTTCGTTGCGTGTTTTAAGTTCGATATCTCACTTCTGACACCAATGTAGCATGTTTTGTGTTCTAATCCCGTTGACCACGTGTATAAGTCTTATCCCACTTCTGACACCAGTGTAGCGTGTTTTGAGTTCTAATCCCGTTGACCACGTGTATGAGTCTTATCCCACTTCTGACACCAGTGTAGCGTGTTTTGAGTTCTAATCCCGTTGACCACGTGTATGAGTCTTATCCCACTTCTGACACCAGTGTAGCGTGTTTTGTGTGTCATGCTACAAATAAGTTGACGCCGGTCTCAAATTCCGTAGAACCTTTATTGTTCTTCGCTTGCACAATCACACGCTTTACAATTATTAGCCTACACAATGTCTCGGCCGATACTCGACTGTCTTCTCTGGCGGTTGTTCCAAGACTCTGTTCTTCGAAGGATGGGTGAAGACTCACTTAGACGACTCGATGAAGACTGACTGTGCGAATGCATTCAACCCCGCTATATAACCTCAGTCGCTGCTATGCAACGACCCCTTTGTTATAACCATGGAGACTCCTGTTAGCACTACAGTAGAGCGACTGTTGTTTCCTATGCAACGGTCTATTCTAGCGTTGCCCCATATGTTTTCATGTGTACTGTTTAATTAGTTAAGCACAAGGACAACTTTACCTTTTACTCCCCCATAACAACACATTGAATTATCCCCACCTTTTACCCCCTCTAGCTCACCTCGCCCATACACACAATCCCCTGCTCTACCTTCACCATGCTACATGGCAGAATGGCGGAGTGTCTGGTATGCGTTGGCAATAGTCTTTCTTTTTTCGTCGATAAAACAAGTGAAAAACAAGAAGGAAAGTGCTTATGTTGTATATAATTAAGATTGGAAGTTCAAGAAATGAAGACTGAAATGTCATCTTGTGAGAAAATAATAAGTGTTGGAAGAGGAATTGTATAATAAAGACCTTAAGAGAATCGTCGGAACAAAAGATTATTCTGGTGGCTATTTTAAAGTTCAGCCAGTAAAAGGAGATTGTGTAAAAGTAGCTACTAAAAACCACAGGAAAAATAATGACTTTAGTAGTAATTTGATACACATAATTCCCACTACAGCCAACAGATATGAGTTGCTATCTAACCTCAAAAATGAGGAAACAATATGTCTACTAAGGATGTGAAAATTCAGAATTAAAGCAATTATCTACAAACAAGGAAAAGGAACCATTTAGTAAAAGGTGTGGGGATAAGTAAACATAAAGTACTGATAATTGGGCACAATCATGCCAAAAAATGTGCGACAGAACTTCGATATAACCTTGATCTCAGGTAGCAAGTTTCTGGTTTTGTTAAACCAGGAGCTATTACTACTGAGATTAAAACTGCAGAAGAGGAAGTATCTACACACAAACGTAATGATGATGTAAAGTTAGATGACATGTTAAATACTGTAATCCAAAGGGTTACTGTATATTTCCCTACCAGAATCGCCAATAATTCAGCCACTGTGATAGATAATATATTTGTTGATAACAGAAGAAGTTATACCATTAAACCGTGTATTAATGGACTGACCGATCATGAGGTGCAGCTCATAACATTTAAGAATATTACTGTACCTAATAATACAGTGCGTACAATCAAGTGCACGCCGCGGCTGCAATTTGCCGTGAGTCATACCACCGCAGAACGGATGCAGTCGCGGGAGGAGTTGCAACTCCTCC